GCATGGACACCCTGGTGCGCAGAGTCATGGCAGCGTGGCCTTCCCCTTCTCTGGATCTGGATACTCAACGATGCCTGGCATTCTTCTCACCTATGAAGAGTACAGCAGTCCCTACCATCCTCCTACGCTCCGGGCGCTCCGGGCAGCAGTACCCATGCTCTTTGTAACAAGGCTGGCTAGTGTAAGGAGTGTTTCTCCCTGGATTAGAGCATTGGAGTGCTATATTCATCCATTGCAGGGGTAGCTTCTTGCTTGGGAATGATTAAAGTTTATGAACTAGTCTATAGGGATTTTATGAAAGATTGAGTATCAGTCACTATATGCTACCTGGTATTTTTTTTTTCCTTTCTTCAAGGTAAATTTAGTATCTAGACATTTGAGCTTATGAAAAAAGAAATGAATTGGTTTTATAAGAAACTTAAGAAATATTCAAGACGGAATATATAATCTACATGATCACTTCTACTAAGTGATCTTTCTTTATTTGGTATCATAAAAGTCTAGACAAGAGGAAGTTATAAGAACTGTAAATGTGTAGTCAGGCAGACATTCTTATGTTCGAGGACGGACAGGGGGTGGTGTATAATGAAGAAAACCAGGGAGAAGGATTGCTAATAAGACCAAAAAAGGGAAAAAGAATTCCAAAGGAAGGCCAGTAAATCTCAGGAGGCATGACATTGCCCATGAACTGGAATATTCCAAATGTTACAGTGACAGCCATTGCTTCATCCCTTCCTCAACAAGAGGCCTCCTCTAAATCTGTCCAGGGTTTGGTTTGGTTTGGTTTTGTTTTCGGTGACCTGTTCCTCCAGTCTTCCTACCCCCTGTCTCTATCCACTCTTTCTCCTCTGTCTCCCCCCTCCTCCTTTCTCCTTTCTTTTTCTCCCTTCCCCCCTCATTTCCTCTCTTTCTTCTTCCCTTTTCTCTCACTGTCTCCTTTCTCCTCCTAACAGACCTCTCAGTGTCAGGTACTGTTTCAAGTGCTGGAAAGAGGTACTACAACAACCTATGAGGTCTGTTAGTAACCCTATGCTAAAGAGAACCAACATAAAGACAAAAGGCAGCTGGCATAAAGTGGTTAAATAATTCTCCCACTATGACTTGGGGCAGAGTTGGGAAGCTTCAAGGGGCTCTGATAATGTCACTCCTCTACTCAAATGTCTTACGTGATTTCCTATTGCCTATGAATTGCATAAAGCCCCAATTCTATAACATGATAGGTAGCAAATGGCCCCAACTTTTCTCCCCAAACATATTTAACTCTTGCCATTTCTCCGAAGGCCCCCCTGTTATGGTATTATCAGAATACTCACTCTTTCCTAAACACAAATGGTCTTTTACAACTCCATGACACATGCCCATTATACAATACCCTGTTTGCTTTGTCATGATCTTTCTTGCCTAAAACTCCTACTCATCCTTCAAAACCCAGACTACTTCTGTGAAGCCTCTCCTGACATCACGGTCTAAATTATTCCTTACTCTGAATGCCCACAGAAAAGTGCTCACATTTCTGTAATAGCTTGTATTACATGTACTGGATTTATTAATATATTTGCCCCACCCACTAGTCTCTGAAGTCCCAAAGAGAAGGAATGGGACCTTATTTACTGGCAAACCCAGTGTTTGCCACCTAGTATGTGTTCACTGTAATGAGGGATATATATTATGCAGGAAAAAGCACCATCAATGTGTAACCTATATACCACACATCTGTAGCATTGACCATAAGTATAAAAGTTTTAGACCTATACATATAGACTCTCTTAAATGTTTCATATGAAAATCTGACTTTATTTTTTTTTAAAGATTTTATTTATTTATTTGAGAGCGAGAACATGAGAGGAGGAGGGCCAGAGGGAGAAGCAGACTCCCCGCTGAGCAGGGAGCCCGATGTCGGACTTGATCCCGGGACTCCAGGATCATGACCTGAGCCGAAGGCAGTCGCTTAACCAACTGAGCCACCCAGGCACCCTGAAAATCTGACTTTATAAAATTTAAAATTGGTTTATAAAAGTTTTGTTTTTCAATTCCTCTAAATCAGGAGCTCTGCTAGTGTTTTAAGCATGCCTTGATTTAGGAAAATATGACATACATGTATTTTTTAAAAATACTTGTATCATGTAAAGGGCAGTTCATTCTTTATCTCTCTCTTCTTCATACATGTACACACATTAGAAATGGCAAACTAGTCTATGAATATCTTTCAATTTTTTCATAGTATACGACTTTGGGTTAAGAATCTTTTTTCCCCTTCTGTACCAGTTTATTTTTTTTATAAGGAATAAGTGTTCTACTGATAAAATCAATATCCATTTAAAGACCATATTGTAGTAATTGTCTATATTATTCTACCTTATTTAACATTATATCCATCATTATGTTACACATTATATCATATCACTGTATATGTTTATACATAAAGTGTATGTGTATACATACCCTTTATGCTGTCCTATATATATGTCGACCTCCACCAGTGTCTGATTTCTTTCACTTTATTTCTAAATTCAAGCATATCCTTTGGATAGTGTTATTTGGATGGTAAATATTTTCTTAAAATGATGCATAAACATATATGTGTGTGTGAATGGATTGTATGTGTATGAATATATATTCACTATATACATAGTCCATTCTAATATGTATTAGATACACATTTTCATATATACAAAATATGTATACTATATACATATATGTACACATGTGTATATATATGTACACTTTATATATTATATATGTATATATACAACTTACATATATAATGTGTGTGTGTGTGTGTGTATACAGTAGTCCCCCCTAGTCCATGGGATACTTCCTAAACCCCTGGTAGATGCCTGAAACCACAGATAATACCAAACCCTACATATACTGTATTTTTTCCTATACATACATACCTATAATAAAGTTTAATTTATAAATTAGGTGCAATAAGAGTTTAACAATAACTAATAATAAAATAGAATAATTATAACAATATACCATAATAAAATCTATGTGCATGTCTCTGAAAATATCTTATTGTATTATACTCACCCTTCTTATGATGATGTGAGATGATAAAATGTCTATGTGCTGAGATGAAGTGAGGGGAATGACATACGCATTGTGATGGAGCATTACATTGGCACTAACCTTCTGATGATACATCATAAGGAGGATCCTCTGCTTCCAGAGAAGGGTGGTTGACTGTGGGTAATATTGAAACCATGAAGTGTGAAGCTGTGGATAAGGGCGAGAACTAGTCCCCCCCCCCATTTCTCTCTGGTTTCTGTTTCAAAATCACACAGAAAATGTTTATTTTTCTTTGTAGGTTCGAACCCACTATCCTACCTGAACATAAGGAGATACACACACACACACACACACACACAGAGTATATAGTCTGTGTGTGTGTGAGAGAGAGAGAGATGGATCATATATATGCACACAGTATATGGTCCATTACAGTTCCCTGTTAATACATAGATTCCTCATCCGTTGAGGCCAGCTAATGATTTTCAGATAATGAGACTGAATGGTACATCTGAACATTCTAGACCAAAGAACATTAATGCAGCTACTACACTGCAAATGCTCTTAGCCAGTGAGCACTCTGTCATGAAATCCTGAATTGAGTGTGTTCTGCAAATTGTGTTGTTTACTCTGTTGGGATCTCTACTGTTATTTATTTTGTGCTCTGGTGAACAATTTTGAGTCATAATGACTGACAAATTGTGCAAGTGATAGTGCTGGATCTGTCATAAAGACACAAAGAAAGAGCATTAAGCTGGAAGTTAAAATGCACTGTTTTACCCATGGCTTGAGGCTTTTTCCAAGGAAATGGAAACCGTGTTAAAGATTAGTAGGCCCTTAGGAGCTAGTTCGTCTTTTGACATTATGAGCAGTATTATAAGTATCCCTTCAACCTGGGAGAATTGACCAGGTACGGTCAGGTATGTCAGGACTTTTAAAGGATTTCAAGAGAATTATGATTGGCAGTGTTGCACCTCCAAAGGGATTTTGTGAAAATAACCCCCTAAAATATTGATCGATCATGTGTTTCTGGGGTTCCTCTCTCCCATCCATCCCCCATTTCCTCTGCTCTCCAGTTAAACAGAGTATGCTTGTCTATTGCCCTGTATTCATTTAACTTGTTTATCTAATCCTTACTTCAAATTAAGATATACTAGATTTAGGTTTAATGTGTTTCTTGCTTTTACTAGCTTTTTCTTAAGTGAGAAAGATCGTCATGATTTCTTTTCATTTGAAACATTTTTTTTCTTAAATAGAGAAACATCGACTCAGCTGTACATTAGAATCAATATCTGGGGGCAGGAGAGAGCACCAGGAGTTTGAAAGGTCCCCAGGTAGCTCTAATGCACAGCCAGGATTAAGGATCGCTGCTCAGTAGAAGATATATGTCTACTTACCATCTAAGGAGTTGGTATTTCACTTGGAACACTTTCAAACATGAAAAGCTTCCCAGATGACTGATTATCTTATATTATTTCCCTCTCCCCGAGTTAAGAATTAGTTTTCAAATGAATTTAGATAATGGTATCTGACAATTTGGCCCAGAACTCTCAGGTGGGAGGGATAGCCTATAAAGACTGTGGGTTTTGGTGCTCATTTGGAGAATAAATATTTATTGAGCTTGCATGGAATGACTTTCCTCTATATCAACTCTCTCCTTCCCCTTGAATATTGAACGAGGGCTGCTTTTTGAGGAGATTAAAGATGATTCACCTTAAACCCAGATATCTCTGTATTTGACAAGGGGTGATGGGGTGAGGACCTGGCACTTCTGTCTGCTTAGGAAAAGCAGGAAGCCTAGTGACGATAAAAGCGCAGCTTTGCGGTGCTGCAGCAGGTGGTACACACAGGTACCTTCAGTAATCATTAACCCCAGAGTCTGAATTGATGCCCGATGACGGAAAATGACACCCAGCACCTGTGTGAAGCTTCTGCACTGGTTTCTATTTCAAAATCACACAGAGAATGTTTGTTTTTCTCTATAGGTTCGAACCAGTGTCCTCCCTGAACATAAGGATCCCCTGCCAGAGGTTGGGGTAAGTGTTTCTTATGTTTCCAAAAGGCACATGTATCACTTCTAAGTTAATCATTTGGATTTTCCCTGGCCTTCTGTTGTCTGATAGCTGACAAAGGAAACTGAGTGAAATTAACAGGGGTTGACTATGCAAGGGGGCACTGTCACATATTTGGCAAATTATTTGGAATTCACTCCTTGTCTCGTGAAAATCATCCTCAAATGAATTCATATTTAGTTTCGCTGGCTAGAGACGAGTCTAGAAACTGCCCTGTAGGTAGCCGAGAACCAGTCGGAGCCAACGTTACTGGACCAACGGAAGGCTAGGGAAATTGCCGAGGTGAGCTCTACCACTTCAGGAAGGAGGCAGAGAACTAACTGGCCGTGGGACTGTGCTGTTTCCTTCTTCCTGCCGCTTCAACACTGTAATGCGGGTCCAAACAGAAGCTGCCACCAAAGTGCAGTCCAGTGCTGCAAAATCCTGCAAAGGTTTTCCTGTTGCATCTGAACAGCACATCCACCGCTTTTAGAAATTGGAAGAGCAGGAAGAGAATGATGTGCTTTTTGCTTAGGGAAGCTGGGAGTAGGTGGTGGCAACTCCCGAGGGAGAGCCCAGCAGGCTGAGTCCCTGGGATCTGTGCAGAGAGGTTGAAAAAGCCTAGAAATAAGTTGGGTCTAAAGAGGCCATGGGACTGAGCCAACTGAAAGGCCTATTGGAAATTCCCAGCAATCCTATAGGCAGTTGACAGCCTTCTTCCGAAAGTTGATGTGTGGAGCAGTGTCCTACGTACCGATCATTTCATCACTGGCAACAGCCACCACCTGAACCTGCCAACGGAGCTCTCAAATATATGCACCAAAGCATGAGTTGAACTGACTGAGAAGAATAATATCAGCCATCTCTGCATTTGATTGTGAAGGAGAAGGAATAGGGCATTTTGTGTTCTCTCATGCCTATCAGGAGCTTCTGTTTTTTTCCTGGGGATAGGTTGAGTCTCTGACTCAAGTGAGTTTTCACACTTTTCTTTTCTGCCTGTCCCTTCAAACTTCTTGTACATTTAGCTTAGTTTCTCCAAAGGGACCAGCAAGTTCTTTCCAGCCTCAGGTCCTTCACTGCTGCAGGTCACAGGAACCTCTCCCTGCCCAGTACTCCTCCCGCCTAGCTCCCTCCCCCTGCTCAGGGCTCGGGGCCCAGGGCTCTGAGCACCCCAGATGTGTTCCTTCAAATTGGAACCTCCACTACAAGCTGTCATCACACCCTTCCTACTTCCTTTTGAAATTTGTAACTATTAACTTAATGCATTACTTTATAAGGAATTTTATTTAATTTTTGAGGTTCAAGAAACATGAGCTGGTTCAATTTTTTTCCTCCTCCAACTGCTCATCCCCACAACTGCTCAGTGTTAAATCCCCCTTGCTTGAAGCTTTAATGACATCTTGGCCTAACTATGTACATTTCCATTTTTTCTCTCATTCAAGTTCTTGAAATACATCTTATTCATTTTAAAACTTGAGTTTCTTCCCTGTTTTTAAATTGTTTTCTTCCCCCCTCTCCTCCCATCATCTCCCACTGTAGGGTAGACATCCATGTACCTCTAGCTTCGTGTAGTGGCAGGGGGCACAGAGTCCAATTCTCACACAGGTCCTGCCTCTCACTGCTCAATATGGTGGCAGGGAGAAAGGGATAAGGAGAGGTTCCTTCTGTTCCTGCCCACGGTGAGGGTGTGGTTCCCTTCCTGCTGGTTTTGCTATTGCTCAGGCCAGCTCTGCCTGTCAGCACGGGGCAGATACTGAAATGCTGTATCTTTTACGAGCACGGCTGTAGGTATTTCTGGGCACCTTCTGGGCTCCTTCCTATGGCATATTTCCCCACCATGGGGAATCTGTCCTGGCTCGACGTTCTCCACTGCCCGGGCTCACTCTGCACTCTCTTGCTGCTGAGACCTACTTTTCCAGCATGTAATGCGTGTTCGGCCACTCTCAGGGCTGCGTGGCGCAGATGAAAGGCACGGGTATTTGCCATGCCACACAGAAGAGGTGCAGGCTGCCCTGCCACTGTTTCCTCTCTCAGCTCAGCCATCTCTCTGCTGACACTTTCTACAAGCCCTGCCAGCATCAGGGGCTAGACCATCAGTGATTTTCAAAGGAGAGACAATCTCTAGTCCCCAATGTAGTGGAACTAAAGATGCTTTGGACACCCCCAAGCTTGATAATTGATGTTTTGGGACCAGACTCCTCTGACTTTGAGGTGTCTTCCTGAATGTGATATGACGAAAAGATTGGCCTCATTTCCTAAACAGTGCATCTCCCGAAACGCTCACCTTCCCTCTCTTCTAACACCACCTTTATATCAACTGGGTGTGTCATGGTTACTAATAGGCCAGTTTCTCTAAATTGGCTTCTTTTTTTAAAGATGTATTTATTTATTTGAAAGAGAGAAAAAGAGAGAGAGAAGGTGCATGTGGGTGCATGAGTGGGGGGAGGGGCGGAGGGAGAGGATCTCAAGCAGACTCTGGGAGCTGAGCACAGAGCCCGACACGGGGCTCCATCTCATGACCCTGAGATCATGACCTGAGCCAAAACCAAGAGTCAGATGCCTAACTGACTGAGCCACCCAAGTGCCCCATGAATTAATTTTTAAAAGTCAAAGTAGTACCCATGGTAACGTAGTCCATATTGTTTTTTTTTTAGCTTTAATATTGAACACAGATTGTGTTTAATGCAATTTTGTATTTAAAAATTTTATATTACAGTCAATTGAAAACAGCTTAAAAGTAATTACTGAAAAAATGCTGATACCCTTAATGATAGGACAATTTGAAACATTTAAACATATCGCTTTCTCAACTCTTTTCCAGTTGGGACTGATTAAGAGATTCCCCAGGAGTCAAAGGTCTGTAAACTATAGCCTGTGGGTCAAATTCACCAACTGTCTGTTCTGAATACATTCATTTATGCATTGTCTACAGCTGTTTTCCCACATGACCTGAGCTGAAATCAAGAGTCAGACACTCAACTGAGTCAGCCAACCAGGTGCCCCTAAATTGGCTTCTTTTTAAGCATTGTGAGAAGGTTGCTAGCTCTAAGCACTAGAGGTTCTCTAACTAATACCATGGTGCATTTGGTATATTGTCTTTGACAAAGACTCAGCTATAATTCCTGGGTCAAAAGAAAATTCTCAATTGACATTCTGTGATATATCTATTATATTAGTTAGGAATGCATTTAGAAGCAAGTAGCCTGGCAAACAATGGCTTAAAAGTAACAGACTCATTTTTCTCATGTTAGAAAAAGTTTTGGGGTAATTGCCCAAGGCTGTAGCTACTCAAAAATGACTTCGAGCAATACAGGTTCTATCCACCTTCCTGCTCCTCCTTTGTTAGAGTATTGTCCAGTGTAACCATTGAACCTTCAGAAATCACAGTCCAGGTGGGAAGAAGACTGAAGGACAAAAGGCACCTGATCTTGTTCCTTCAATTCTGGGAAACAGTAACTTTTGGGGAAATTTCAGTTGGTATACTGCTATGTACTTATCACTAAGAAGACAGGAGTCCCCAAGCAGAAGAGAATCTGGGTCAGTTCCCATTGGAACAAAGTCAAGGTGCTATTAGTAATGAAAAGTGAGCAAAATAGGTATTAGATATTGGTAATGTCTGCACACTCTTCCTACATGTTAAACTCCGTGATAGCAAAGAGCCTATTTATTTTGTTCACTCTAACAGCCCTAGCTTTGTGCCTGGAAACTAGTAAATTATGATATATGTATTGAATGAATTAGAAAGCATACCATGATTTTGGTTTGCCAACCATCTTAAATTTTTTAGAACCACCAGAATGAAAGGGGGAGGCATCTAAAAACAATTGCAATAGTATATAAATTTTAATAATATGTAAAAATCTAGTACACTTTATGACACAATCAGAAGTCAATAAAATGGCAATTATATTATAGACCTAAATCTCAAGCATAGTAAGAATAAGCCTAAATAAGAACAAATCCAAGTCCACATGCCTTGGCATTCTAATACCCTCAGAGTACACAATATTCTAGATAGAGAAGAATTGCCACATCTTAAGCACCTATCATGTACCCCTGGTTAATATGTATCTCATCACTTAATCCTCAAAATATTTCTTTGGACACTACACAAGGGGTCTGAGAGTTTTATTTATTTATTTATTTATTTATTTATTTATTTATTTTTAAAGATTTTATTTATTTATTTGAGAGAGAGAGAATGAGAGAGAGAGCACATGAGGGGGGGGTCAGAGGGAGAAGCAGACTCCCTGCTGAGCAGGGAGCCCGATGCGGGACTCGATCCTGGGACTCCAATATCATGACCTGCGCCGAAGGCAGTCGCTTAACCAACTGAGCCACCCAGGCACCCAAGGGGTCTGAGAGTTTTAGCCCTTGGCCAAGACTTGGCTCTGCCATTACAACCTGCTAAGGACTCTGGCTCTTGACTACACTGATTTTAAAAATGAGCTGAAACTTTTTATTATAAATAGTTCAAATATGTTCTATACATTTCTTTGCATTCTTAAGCAGCATCTATTGGATGCACCCAAACCTTTTGTTGATGTCTTAGTGAAGCAGATACCAATCTGTGCTGAGACCTTTTGAGGTATATTCATAGTAAATATGTAACTTTTAAATATATGGCTTTACCCTAAAATGCTTTGTAATGTTTTCTTTGGACTGTTTGTCCACTTTTAATAGATTTCCTCCCAAGTCTTTTTTTTTTTTTCTTATTTTTTTTTTCACTTTGAGTAGTTCATGTGTCTTATTTCCCTTACTATTTGATGGGAAACCATGTAACCATATCTGTTAGGGTTGAGAGAGAAGAAAAAGTACACAGGCTATGAAAAATAGGCCTGTCCTGTAAGTTACATGTAGGAGATGTTGTGTATCAGCCTCATGCTATCAACTTCAGCTCTTCCAAGGCCTTTCAAACTTGTACCACAGTTCCTGTATATAGTTTTATAAGAGTAGGTAAAGTATTATTGATATATTCATTTAACCTCTAAACCAGCACTTTTCCATGGAAATATGTGTGCCACAAATGTGTGCCACATATGTAATTTTAAATTTTCTAGCAGTCAATGCTTTTAAAAAATTAAAAAGACACAGGCAGGATGAATTTTAATATTTTGTTGAAGCCAATATATACAAAATGTAATCATTTCAAAATGTAATCAGTACAAGAAATTATTAACACTCTATTTCACACTCTTTTTTTCATACCATGTTGTTTAAATGTGATGTGTATTTTATACTTACAGCATATCTCAATTCAGAGTAGCCACAAGCCCAGTGCTTGAACTAGTGGCTACCCATTGGATCGTACAGCTCTAGACAGTACTTAGAAAAGCTTGGGAGGCTCTTAGAAATTGTTGTATAAAGGAACCCTATGCTTTGATTAAAGGCTTTGCGAGATGAACATAGGTGATGGAGGTTTGGCCAACTCACGGCAAGGTGTACAGGGCTGTACATCTTTTGGCTCCTTATATAGTACAGCTCAACCAGGGACCATTGAGGGCCTGCTGCAGAGAGGTGTGTAACCCCAGAAGCATTCTGAATACTTGTGACTTGCTCAGAGTCCCTGTAAGGGCTGGTAGGATAAACTGTTTATTTGTACACTCTATAGAGAGAGCAACCAGGGATTGAGGCAAATGCTCCACTTTTTTTCGCCCTGCTTGATATCACTCTCCAGCCAGGTGAGTGGGTGCAGGAAGCCATTGAGTGATCCTCTGCTTTGGGTGCTTGCACCAGAATGATCCTTCTGAGTGTCACACTCTCATGAGCAGGCAAAAAAGGTCAGAGCCACATGCTGCGCAGACAGAGAGCCTGGCAGAAGGAGAGGGAATGGCCACCTGTCCTGGAAATAAAGCCCAGTGTAATGGGGATAAAAGAATGCTGGACTGAAAAGCAAGAAACCTGGATTCCAACTTGGCCTCTGCATATTGACTAGTTCTGGGACCAAGTGTAAGCCAGTTAACTTCTTTTAACTTCCTATTTTCCCAACAATGTACCGAGTGCTTTGCCTGGCTTACTTTGATTCTTAAAACTGTGAGAATGATA